TTCAGCTCTCCTCCAATCTGACCCATTTAATGTTTCAGCTCTTCGAGTTCAAATTAATTATTTAATTAATTCATGTTGCTTGGGTTTTCTCTGGCCCGCTTAAATTTCCCACTCCGTGCCACGTTTCAGATTCCTGACTCTCGGCCCGTCAATTCTCGCTCGACCCACCGGGTCGCAGGTGCTCAGCTCATTGGGTCAGTTTTTGGTCTGGTAAAAAATATTTTTATTTTTTTGTGGGATTTGAACCCCCACCACTTACAAAGTGGCAAAAACCACATACCAACTGAGCTAGGCTCATTTTCAAGCTTGATAAAAGAAAAATATTATTCTTATTTACATATTTACTGTAATAAAGTATTTTGACTTTAATTTGTTATGCCCCACAAAAATGAAGTTTATGGATCATAATACTTTCGGACGAAAAAATTAGAATCGCCCGAAAATAGGGGGCAACTGATACACCACCCACAAGATTCCATCAGCCAGCACGAATCTCAGTGCAATTTTTTGAACAAGAAACATTCAAACTTCGATTAAAAAACATCCAGAGCTCCGATTTCAACAAACTTATAGTCAAACTGATCGTTCGATGAGACAGACTTAGGGTGTGTTTGGGGCAGCTTGTGTGTTTTAGGATAAGCAGCTTATCCTGAAACGCGGCCAGCAGGGTTCGACCCACGAGCTGCGTTTAGTGTAAAAATGGAACTGCATTTTTGGATAAGCGGGCAATACATGCGATCCAAATGGTACCATGTCGTTTTCAAAAACACCCATGCACTTATAAGCTGCCCCAAACGGGCCCTTAATGATATTAAAGTTAATCCAATCCGAGTCAAATAAAGCCCGGATCAAGTCATTAAACCACTATTAGAGAATTTTAGGAGGCATTTGAAAGGTCAAACGGATGTCGAATCTTGCGAGTTTATAGTCGAATCGAGCGTCTCAAAAAGACGAATACATCGTTAAGGCATTCAAATGTCCATCAAACGTCATCTGATCAAGGGAAGCTCTCTGTACCGTTCGATCAAAATGATTCATATTCCTGCATTAATTGTACTTAAAACACTATAAATAATCTCACCCCTCACATGAAGGGGAAGACTTAAGAGAGAACTTGAGACTTTGAGATGGAGCTCAAGTCCAAGATCATTCTCGCCATCGTTGACCACCGCCGACCATAATCGACTATCGTCAGCCACCGCTGACCTCCGTTGACCACCGCAGACCGTCATTGATTATCGTCGACTACCGTCGATCACCATCGGCCTCCGTCAATCATCGCTGACTACACGTTGTCGATCGACGTTATAACTTGAAAAGCTAGTAACCATTTCACGCCTGTGGGACAATGAACATCTGTAATCAACTTATAGTGGATTTTTACAATTGGGCCAGGCTCCATGGTTTTTCCCCTTTACGGGTTTTCCACGTAAAAACTTCTGGTGTTATCACAACTTGATTCTTTTTCATCTGAGTGTGTGTTGAATCCTCGTACAACGCTAAGACGATAATCCATTACTCTACTGCCGCAAATTTTCTAGCACGAATCAGTTGAAATATCAAAGATTTGGGTATTTTACCTTACATGTATTTTGCATCATAAAGTATTAAAGTTCTCACCACCATCTTAGGAAAGTTTTCTTTTGAGTCTAAGCGATACATTTTTATCACACGATATGCCAGATGCATTCCTCCACTTCAACCAACCAACCTGAATTCTACTAATAACATCCTCATCTATGTCACCATCAAATCTAAAACAGCAGGTTCAATACTCGAGGAAACAAATAGAAATAACATATATACACTATTATCAACTAAAATGTTGCAGGAGTTCCTGGACTAGGTAGGAGTGAAATTGTTTAAATCTTAGTGATGTAGATTAAGAAGGAACCATTACTTCAATAATTTATCGAATCCTTTTAGAAGATAAAAAAATTGAGTGAATCATGAAACTTATTATAGAATGATCAGAAAGAAAAATAAAACTACGTTCTCTTCGGATAGTATATAAAAAGGCAAATCTTTATGCTTGAGATGTCCTATCAACCTGTGAAGTTGAAGAAGTCTTTCAAATTATAAAATCCAATTTGAAAAAACTTTAGCTCATATCCCTCATCTAATATAGAAATATGCTTTTAAACCTCACGATAAACTATAATTATTAAGATCAATAACATGCCCAATTTCATTTAAATTACATTCAAACTTGTCCAAACTAGACTCATTAGCTCGTGAGTCAGCCCGAAACTAATTGGTTTCTAAAATTTCCCTTGTATGTTAAATAGGCATGAACATATCGACATTCAAATTCCAACAAGTTACGGCCAATAATAATGCAAGATTGTAGTTTGAACTTGACAAGAAATGTAAACTATAGAGTAAAAAAAAAAATGTCTAGAGCAAAAAAAAAAAGAACGTCAAAAGGATATTTATTCAAAAAGTAAACTATAGAGCAACAAAAATAACGTCAAAAGTACTTGTTCATCCTCAAAGCATTCGTATGATTTGAATCATGAGAGCTAATTCAAAAGCCATTAAGAAGAAATAAAGTGTTAAAGGTATAATGGGGGCATTAAAGTTATGTATAGTGGAGCAATGACTAGCATTAAAACTATTCAAAATACTTGGTATATTTTATTTACAAATTATACGGAGATATAAGTGATGTATCTCTAAATAAAAAAAATTAAAGCAAAGAAAAAAAAAACTTCTGATAAATAAATGGCTTATAATTGATAAATATATTAGATAGACCGTATATTGTTTCAACAAAGATGAAATTAAAATTATGTCAATATTATTGAACGATGATATGATAGCTAAAGGCAATAGATTTAAGTATCCAGATCTATCATACACAAAAAGACAGCATAAAAGACCACAATTTCTAGAGCAAAAGCTAAGATGTCAAGTTCAATAAAATCCTCAAAAATATTACTTGACAATGGCATATCATAAAGAATTTCAAAACTGCGAGCACTCGTTATATTAAAACGGTCTCTAAGGTTTGAGATTAAAACATTTGTTTATACCAAAATTAAAAATAAAAAATGAAAATGGGTAACATTAACATGCGGTGCAGACAAGAAAGAAAGGAAGATAAAAGATTATATTAAAGACATGATAGGCATATATGTTTTGACGATAACGTAATATAATATAAACTTAGATAGTTTGAATATCTACAAAGAGGGTATATTATCAAACAATAATATAGCCCAAAAAAATATATATGGATAGAATAGAAGAAAAATAGAATAAAAGATGTTATATGGCTGCATTGTTGAAACAAAAAAAAAGAGAAAAATAGAGTTTAAAAGTCCATGGTGCCGATGATGGTACGCGTTTAATGGAGAGATAGAGTAAGGAAGTGGGCAGAGAACACAACAAGGAGAAACATAATAATTAATTAAAAATTAAAGGCGTGTTTGGTTGCACTCAATATTTACAATTAATATGATTTAGTAAATCCGATAAATCTGGATTTATCAAATCCATATAAGTGTTTGGTTCGGTTGAAGATACATCCTGTTAAAATTGTTAGAGTGTTTGGTATTTTAATTCAAGATCTTATAGTCATGTCTTTCTTCCCAAGTAAAATCGGTTAAGTCCACCGAATAGTGATTTAACATATCCAGATTTACATCCAAAAATAAACAGAAGGGAGATAAAAATGGATTTAAGGAGGCACCAGATTTAATTTCCAATTTTTTACGTTACCAAAAATTCTTTAACATATAATCATTGTTCAACGTCAATCCAAAAAGAAAAATAAAAATTTTATGAGAAGGGAAAATAGATAGCAGTCCAATGAAAAACAAATACACTTCAATTCTATTAAGCAGACAAGACAAAAGAAAAAAAAAAGAAATCAGACAACAGGTAATTGATAGTTCTTTATAACCTTACTGAATACATAAAAGCAGACCAACTTCAGCAATTCTCACTCCATTAAATTAATTAAATGTTAAAATTAGTCCAGTCTGGTTTAAATAACAGTATAACTGATCATATATGAATCCTGGCTCATCAATGTAAGTAGAAAATCAAATGCATCCTTTCATCATTTACCACAAATTTGCAGAAAGTTGCATCATCTGGACAAAGGCGTTAAAAAACTAACACACTGGATAAACAAACTGGTTTAAAAACTAGAAAACTGTTTTGCTTCTTGGCCAAGGAAATTCTAAGCAATTAGCCATTCATGATTGTTAGAACAATATACAAGTTTAGGTGCTAGATATACATAGGAATTGAGTGGTGAAATATTTCCAAAATAAAATCAAGCTCCACAAAAAATATAACTTTCTAGCAAACAATCACAGACAAAACAACCAACAACAACAACTAGCTTTTATCCCACAAGTGGGGCGGCTACGTGAATCCTTTTTCTCCATTGCGTCCTATTGAGTGTCATAATTTCATTTAATTCTAATAAATTAAGATAATTTTTTATACAATATGCTCAAGTCTTTCTAGGTCTACTTATGCATTTCTTAACATAAGTCAAATCTAAAATATCTACTCTCCTAACCGGATCATCAGATTGTCGACATTTCAGACAACACAAACACCATATGTTAAATTACAAAACTAGGCAAAGTGATTTAAGATGGCAAGAGCAAGAGCTACCAACAATTCCAAGGTTGTGAAAATCGGATTAAACATCAAAGTGGAAGAAGGAAAGATACAATGTTCCTTGGTTCGAGTGGGATGAAATAATAAATATATAAATTAATTAAATATGACCTAAATAATATAATAATAATATAATAAATTAATAATACAAATATTTTTGGTGCCACGGGCGGTTCACTGTCTAACCAGTAGAACCGGCCAGTTAAGCCATTTTTTAAACCTTCATCAATTCTGTCCCACAAAAAAAAAAGTTTTTGCCAGAGCACAAAAACCATAGCAAACAATTATCAGCAGAAAAAAAAGCATTCAATCATTAAAAAAAAACGAAAGCGTGAGAGGAAAACGAAGTAGAAATTTACCTCCCGACTTCAATTGCATAATCGCCGCGAATAGTCCCGGGTTCTGAGTTAGAAGGGTTGGTAGCCCCGATCATCTTCCGACCAGTCACAACAATGTTCTTCCCCTCCCAAACCATAGCCACCACCGGACCAGAGATGATGTACTCCACCAACCCAGGAAAAAAGGGCTTCGCCGACAAATCCTCGTAGTGCTTCTCAGCGAAGGACCGCTCCACGGTTACAAGCTTCAACCCTAAACTTCAAATAGATCACTACTTGCAAAAGAGAAAAAAAAAAACCACACAGTATTTGATGCGGCATGCGTCAATAGAAGAAAAATACCTTTCAGGTAGAAACCTCTCTTCTCGAATCGCCCGATGACATCACCAATCTGAAAAGAGGCATAGATTAGAGTTGCGCAAGAAGCTCAATTGAAAGAAAAGAAGAAAATCATAAGAAGGAAGCGTGGATTGATAGATTACCAGGCCGCGTTGGACGCCATCAGGCTTGATCATGATGAAGGTCTGCTCCATCTTAACTGCTTTCGAAGATCTCTCTATACGGCGGCGATTGAAAGAAACCCTAGGCCTAACGAAAGAGTGAGGGCTTCTATTTATATAGGAGGAATTTTAACTTACGCATCTGACACACGACTATTCCACGTCCCCAGATTTGCCGATATTTCGAGTCTAGTTTAGGCCAAATTGAACCTATTGGGATAATTTTTTACAGAGTATAACTAAATTTGATATATTTATAATAAGAACATAAAATTTCAGGGAAGTTAAAATCACTTAATTATTAGAGCATTTTTATCTATATTTTATGAAAAATACAAACAACTTGATGATACTTGTCGCTACCCGATAGAAAAATTGTACAATACAAATTCCGAGCACCTACAAAATGTTCACCAACTCAAGCATTGGCAGAAATCATAGGTTGGCTTGCAAGGCACCTCATAAATAACAGTGTATCTAAGGAGAATATGTTTAGCCAATTGGGATCAGTAACATCACAAACATATCATTTAAGAAATAGAACTTCTTCAGGAATAACATCATATTGTCCTCCCTCAGATTCAAAATCATCTCTTCACAGTTTTGACATTTCCACCGATTTTCAGCATGATTGGTTTCCTAAAATCCGACATCTTGAAACACGAAAGGAGATCTCTGTTGATCACAAAAAAAAATGTTGGGACAACATCACAAATGAGAGTTCCATTATTCGCACAAAAAAAGAGTACGAGACTTCATTTTTTCCTCGTCCTTATGGTTTTTTTATAAGTTCAAAGGGACAAAAAAAAAGGCTAAAAAAGCAAAAATCTAGGTCTACTTCACTTAACTGGCCTCAATTATCCGATCTGGCCCAATTCAGCGGTCGGATTATACTTTCACGTGGATCCGGCTAGTCTTACGTGGCCTTACAAGCGAAACCACATGCAACGTCATGGATCGCACCTTCCGCACAAATTAACCCTTCAATTCGCACACCAAATCATGTCATCCCACTGTATGATCTGCATACTAGATCGTGTCATCCGCGGATCTGATACCGTATAGTGACCTGTGTGGATTCTCCACCATCCGATATTGATCTATACAAATACAGAATGATGTAAGCACCCTTCGGTTCTGCATCTCTCGTATCATTGGTGGGATCACAACCGTCGTTTAATGCTTCACTGACATGAACAATGGGTCCATGCGACACACTTTGAGTCATCAATCCTCTTCCCAACAAGACCCGCACTTCGACAAGTCTGCCACTGCAACTTGGGTGACCTGCTGACAAGCCGACTTGTTTCACATAATGACGACCCGACAACCTGCATGGCCCATCAACATGACACAAACCCATAAGACTCATTCATACCCGCTCCAGCTCCAACCCGACAGTGAGCTGTTCCAATCCAATTACACATCAGACCTATTTTTGTTGTCGTCATTGTTGATCGCCGCCACTACCGCTTCCTTCACCAACAAAAAAATTATAATTTATATGAATGTCAAGAGGTTTGAACTTGGAGGTAGTTAGAAAGAGAGGGAGACACATTCAAGCTAGGCTGGGAAACTTTCTTTATATAGATATATATCAATCTTTTGAACAAGAAGAAAAGAAAAAAAAAATCAAATTTCTAGTATTTTTTTATGACAATATTTCTGTTTCTTTTTTCTTTTTTTATTTTTGAAGGAGTCATCAGTTTGTCTTTTATCGTATAATTTATTTTTCCGAATAAGTCTCTCTTCCGGATCATAAGAATAATCTAGAGAGAAATTGAACATGAAAAGATGGGACATACAACGAACAAGATAAACAAAGAGAAAGAGAGCATAGAGAGTCCTACGTGTAATAAAGCTCACAAAAATCTCGCAAGGAGGCACCTTGAACTAATATCCGTAAAAGAATACCTGTGTAGACTACCCATAACCAGATATTCAAGTGTGTTTGTATGTTCTAGTATCCAAAGTGCTCCCAAGAAGGACATATCACACTTGGTTAATTACATCTTGGTAGTTACCCAAGAATACTCTTTATCCAAATGAGAGTTTTACTTACATTACTAATGACAACCATCACAGAGCTATCAAAGGACAGTTATTTCACAGGGGAATGCTCTCACACTTTTAAAGCTCCCTCTAAGTCATGAGGGGAGAGTGAGTCTCTTAAGATCCTCGCATGGGTAAAGGATTTATAGGTATACGAAGCCTGCGAAACAACTGAATCATCTTAATATGTTAAAGCATATTCAGACCATAAGGGTAGAGGACAAATCATCGTATCACAAATGGGCGACAGATCATCGATAATCATGTCGTCGAGATGATACCCACAAAAGAAAAAACAACGATAAGGTTCAACAGGGATAGTCAAAGGAAGGTAAGAGTAATCTGTAACAGGTAAAGGTAGTCAGGTTAGAGCATCATGGACCCATCATCTCGAGCCACTATGACCCTAAGTCTACCTAATTGTGAAGGTAGTATACTCAACACTTGCGGACATCCCCTGTTAGCAATTCATTAATTGTGTCGTTTGTGGGGACCTCAGTAGCAGTAAGGTCAAAGGAAAGAAACTATATCATATAACTATCAGGTGGAGCTCTGAGAGATAGGACTTATACTAGCCGAAAGTGACGAGGATATCGTTGGAAAGAAAGAGGAAGGGAGGTTCAATTACAAAGCTGGAAACACTCCCGATAAAAGGATTTACACTCCGTCTAGGTTGGGGAGCCTTCTAAAGACGTAAGAGCGCAAGACAACCGTTTAAGTAGAAATCTATGTTGAGCTAGTCGGGCTGGAGAAGTAAACAGGCTTCTCCTCAGGACATGCAGATCATACAGTTATCTACCACAATCTTAAGTGTGGAGGCCCTATTAATATGACTTATGATATGTTCATGCAATGCTACCCATTTTAAAATTATCCCGAAGGTTATGTAGGAAAATAAAAGACATAATGTTTTAATCTTAAATTTTAATTAGTCTTAATATTTTGTTAGGATTTTGTAAAAAGTTTACAATTTTAGGTCCATAGATAGCCTAAATCATCTGCATGATTCTCGGACAATCCATAAAATAAAAATTGGCGGAAAAGTAATTCAACAACACAGGGATACAAGAAAGATAGTAAAATAAGCCCAAATATGAAAAATAAACGGTCGATGTCGCTCGTTGGTAACATAACCCAGAAACAAAAAAAGGGGGCCAGTCACTGGATAAGTACACATCTTTGCTTAATTATATACATAAATGAGATTTAGAATTAAAGTATGTGACACGAGCAAGCAGCTCATGGTCCCAATCACGTGGTTCTACCCATTTGGCATCTCGGAACTCGTACCCGTACATTATTTTTGATACTGACTCTTCTAAGGACTCTACAAAAAACATATGGAAAGTAAAAAAAGAAAAAAAAGACTCGACTGCATGAAGACAATGTTAGCAAAAAAGCTAACAAAATATGCAATGCATATGAGTCATGCCTGACTGGAGAAACTAAGTAGCACATGCAAGAAAGGGTTAGTATATAAATCATTACATTGTGCACCCCCTTCCCCCCACTCCCTCTGTTACATGTGTGGTGTATATTTTAGGCATTGCTCCCTGCAAGAAGATCGACTAAATATATTATCATGCATATCTATAACCAGGACATCAAAAAAGACTACTAAGCATCTTAGTCCTTAGTCTAACACACAATCTAACGTAATGTCCTAACACAACATTTAAGTGAGTGCATGGTTATGTCAAAAGGCTAACATTTGTTTTGACATTGTTGGCGTCACCGACCTCATCCTGATGATCCAAAGATTCTAAGAGGTGTTACTAGATGCGGGTTTTGAAAATCTTTTGAAAAGTTGACCTCATGTATGGTCTTAACTAACTATGCAAGTAACTTAAAAATATATTTTGAAAATATTATGCGTGTAAGTAATAAAAATATATATTTTTATACTTTCACAATAGTTTCTAGGAAATAGAAGGCCTAAGTGGCACCTATTATACCTCTTAGAACCTTAGCACAACATGCACGCGCTAATCACAGCGTGGTAGCTAGTATTGTCCCACCAAGGCATCCTCGTGGGAAATACTTGCTACTTCGTCATGACTAACAAGCAAGATTTATTGTCAAGATAGCTGAAGAAATGCACATACAAATGTACAATGACAAAAAAATTGCAAAAATTCGCAGCTAACATACAGTGCTCAATGCCGAGTGATGCATGCAAAACATACAACACAACTGAGAATGAGTGTGTTGTGGAGACAGTAACTTAGAGGTTGGGTGTGTCATAGAGACTGTGACCTGGAGGGTGGATGTGTCGTAGAGCTGTGACCCAAAGAGTGGGTGTGTCGTAGAGGTAGGGACCTGAAAGGCTGGGAGTACGGTGAAGGTAACAACTCAAAGGAGTGGGAGGAAATACACAACAGATTAGTTTGGTGGTGAGTCATCCATTCACATGATGTGTGAGTAAGAGTAGTTAAGTGTATGAGAACACTAATTCAAATGAGAAAAGACTTTAGCAAAGCAAGTCATATAAATGTAAGATGTTATGCAAACAAACACATAAGAGTGGAAAGTGCAAGTGAAAACCACCTGTAACATGGTGCTAAGTGAAATAAGGATTCCATGAAGTCGATATATAGAGTAATGTATCTCTAGAAGGCACAAATACTCATCATGAGTATATGAGGGAATATGCTAATGGGTGCACGATAGTGTGCAAGTGTGGGTTTGCAAATGCAGGCAATTGAAGAAGCAAATAATGAATACAAGATACCAAATGTAAAAGATTGACTAATCAATCTGGCTGGTGGCAACATCGATCGAAGTGTCGACAGACTGTGGATGCTAGACCGATCGAGTCGGGGGCAGTGTAGATTGATCATGTTGACCAAAGAAGGTCGATCAAATCAATGCGGGCCAATCTATGAAGGGTGGTCGATCGATACGATGGGGCCGATGACACCCAATAGATCGAGTGGACCGAAGATAGTTGAATGAGTTAGAGTGTATGACTGATCAATAAAGAATGTCCAATCAGGTCGATGGGCGATCGACTGATCAAATGGACCATAAATGGTATATCGGGTCAGGATGTGCAACT